GGCTTTACCTCGCACCTAGCAGACACTATCCTTTCCCCCTTTTGCCTGTCACCCTCATCTTCTTTACTCCTTTGCAACTCCCACTCAACCCCTCAAGCATATTGATGTACAAAAATATTAATACATGTCTAGAGTGCTCTTTAGTTCTACTTACCCAAGCCCCACACAGGCCAAGACAGCCTTCTGGCTAAGGCTCTCCCCTCTGCTACCCTGGCAGACCTGCCATATGGTTTTTCTTACTAGACTGCAGCTCTTTGAGGGCAGGGCTGATAGCATTGCTGGTCATTCCCCAGTGGCCATCTTGTACCTGAGGATCCCCCCAGAGTTCCATCCTCTACCCTACTCATGCCTCTCTAAACCCCATGTTTAGTCCTCCCAGATTGCATCACCTGCTCCCACATCCTCTGGTTTCCCACGTGGGGTTTGGCAAATGGAAATCACTTGGAGATCAGAAAGACTCCCTTCCTGCTTCTCTCTCCCTCTGAGCATAATCTCCCTTTCGAGGTGCTTTCCTCTTGCCCCTTTAGGCCTAGGGGTAGTAAAGGCTTCCTGCTATTGCTACTACACCATGGGCACTTCACCATGCTTTGTCCATTCCTTTGATGTTGTCCACTACTCTGGAAATTGTCCCATCATTAAATTCTCTTCAGTTAAACCCTTTGTTTATGCCATTTATTTCCCATTAGAAACATAAGAACCCTGAGAGATACAATATCTCATTTATCAGCTAGCAAAGCTTCTGATACAAAGTAGGTGCCCAATAAAATGAATTACAGAATGAGTGATGCTGATCTGCGAATTAATGAAAAAAAAAGAATGAGTAATTATCAGAGCAGGGAGTGGTGTCACCCACCTGTAGTCCCAGCTACTTGGGAGGCTGAGGCGAGAGGATCACCTTGAGCCCAGGAGTTCAAGGCTGCAGTGAGCTATGATCTGGGCTATATGCTGTGTGTCCTGGGCCATAGTGAGACTCTGTCTCCAAAAAGAAGAAAAGCAAAAGTGAATATTACATAGAAACTTGAAATAAAAGATAAAGTTTTTCTGAGGTTCATCTTGAAACTTTTAAGTGGGGAAGCTGGATATTGCCAGACATGAAGCATTGCAAGGGCTCTCATCAGCAGCCCACAGCCTTCTCTCCCCATTTTTGCTGATGGGGCTGTTGCAGAGGGAATGGTCAAATCTAGTAGCAGCAGCCCCAAGTTGAGATGTACTTTGCTCTCCACTAGGATGGCTAGGTTTACATTGTCTTTCATCATTAGAGGAACTATATAGGGACAGAACAAAAATACATTCATTAAGAAAGAAAACAGTGCACCAGTCAGCAGAATGACTGTTGTTACAAGACACATGAAAAGGAAAAATTAATTCCTTGGAAAAGAGCTTTCTATTTTAAGAAGATGGAAAAATAAATAAATAAATAAGAGGTGTCCTTAAGTGATACATAATGAAGACACTTCCCAGGCATTCTCAAAGGCTGTGGCTTTTCAGATGTAAACCTAAAACAAAATCCATTACAAAGGGTAGCATCCAAGTTGGATTCTGGTTGCTTATTTAGTCCTGTGGTCAGGCTTTGCTGAACATAGCAGTCTAAACCAGAGCCACAGAGCTGAGAGTGGTCCTTCTTTCTCTCTAAAATACCCCTGGACTGTCCTCAATGACCTTAATTGTATGACTCGGCAAGAACAACAATTAAATAGTATATTTTGGACCAAATTCTCCCAGGGTACATATTTTTTAAGGTACCTGGAGTTTTTGGGCAACATACACACTCTGAGAGGGTTTGTTGTTCTAGTAACCTCTAAGATCAATTCCAGGGCATCACAGAGCCAACAAATTATGTTCCCAAGCCTGCAACTGGGGCACTCTTTGGCTAGGTTGCCTGCAGTGTTTTTCTGGAGCTGCCTCTTAGGAACTCATGAGAACCAACTGTTAAATTTTCAGGAATTTTTCAAGTTGGTTAACACCTTATCAGTAGCTCGAAATTAGCCATGGTGAGAATGTCTACACCACAGGAATTGACAAACATTACAAATTAGGATATTTCCCTCCTAGAAGTCAGTTGTTGGACATTTACTGCTATCACGTTATCTATGAAGTAATACCATCTCACTGGTGGCTGAAATTTCTGGAGAGAAACTTCCAATGTCTTTTCCCTAGTCTCTGAAAGCTCAAAGAAAAGAATCAGTCTCCCCCAATAGATTATTTAAAATGGAATCCTAAATTTAAATGCCCAGTTAAAAAAATTAGACTAGAATTAGAGTATATAGCCTGAGAATGTGGTTTGTTTTTATTTCCAACTGACTCAAGAAGTTTCTGAAAATTAATTTATGATAAATTGCCTTATAAAGTTAAAATGCCTTCCAAAATGTTATAGTGCAATTTCAAAAACCAGGGAAGTCAGCCAGTAAACTAAGTGTATCTCTATAAAGAGAAAGAGATTTATCTCAAAATAGTTTAGGCCCCGCTAGAGGAATTTGTCTCTGTTTCAGTGGACAGGGAAACAGCAACTCCTAGCTAATCTTGAGATTTTTTTTTTAAATTCCCTGAAATAATGGCTGAAGATTGGCTCTGTTGTTTTTGGCCAACTATTCTAGTGAAACAAAAATTTTGCAACTGCAATGACCTAACTTGGGAAACAATTTTATAACATTTTCTAGGAACCACAAAACATTTGTTTTACTCTTTCTGAAGATCAACAGTGGGGGAGAGCAGAGAGCATAATATTTTGCCTTGCAACAAAGAAAAAACTTGATAAGGTCAGCAGCTAGAAGAATATTTCAGTTCAAATAAGGGTCATCCAAAGCCCATGAAATGTTGCCTTCCAAATCAGTAATGAACATGCCTCACACAATGTCACAACCAGCTAAAACCCTGGATCCATTCAGCTTGCTATTAGAGCACAAATGGTGACCTTCATTTATCATACAACAAATTTTAAGCCAGGCAGCTAGTTTTAACAAAATCAGCAGCAACAGTGGTTAGCTGCAAAGGCAGATTTTAATTTTAGAAGAGCCTGGAGAAAAGAAAACACTGGAACTTCTTGATGTGGTTGGGAAAAAAAAAAGCTTCTTGCATGTGACTCGGATTTCAGTTGAGCCAAGTGCAGACAATCTAAGTTATGCAACATTATTATTGCTGATAGATTATAAAAATATCTATCAACAAACTCCATCAGCACGATGCCCTCAAAAGCCTATTAAATATGTACCAGTGAAGATGTCTGAAGAACTTGATATGCTGTGTCATAGGATATATGGTGATTAAAACCATGGCCACTTGAGTTAAATAATCTAGGTTTAAATCCTTCATGGCCCATTAGCTACATGACCTTAGACAAGACATTGACCCTCTGTAAGCCTCTCATGCTTCATCTGTAAACTAGAGGTGATAGGAGTCCCCAAAAGAGTTGTTGTGAGAGTTAAATGATGTGCTTAGAATGGTGTCTGGCACATGGCAAGTACTAAATAAGTGTTAGCCATTATTTTTTTGCATGTGGCCCAATTTATTTTAAGCGTTTGTCTGAGAGTCCTCCAGAAGCAGACCGTGAGGCAAGGATTTGAGTGCAAGTAGTATATCTGGGATGTGATCCCAAACACCAGTAGAGGAATGGGGAAGTGAGGTCAGGAGGGGAAGACAGCCAATGATGGGAGTGTGACCGCAGTGACCACAGGGGGCAACCAGCGCTCAATGCAGCTAAGGGCTCTGGGAGGCAGACTCAGCACACACAGAGATATCCCAGGCAAAGGGTGCTGATGCTGGGTCCTTATCCACCAAGTCCCTGTCTGTCATTGGTTGAAGGCTGTTCCCTGGGGCATGACACTCCTGGGACAGAAAATGGCAGGAAGTTCAGAGTAAGCAGCCCTGGGCATGCAGAGGAGAGTGCCCAGGGCATGTGGGAGGGGCAGCACAGATCATGAAATTAGCTGAAGTTCCTCTAGACACAGTCTCACCATATTGCCCAGGCTGGTCAACAACTGCTGGGCTCAAGCCATCCTCCCAGAAACTGGGATTACAGGCATGTGCCACCACGCAGGCCAGGATATTTATTTTGATAAATCAACCCCCTAGGGATAATGTAAAAAAACCCACAAAACTGTGTTCATCCTATACTGGTTTTAATGGAGGTATTAAGCCAAGAGATCAGTTATATAACTTTTAAAAATTTATATGTGAGTTCTCATCAAAAGAATAGAGCTGGGAATAATATATGGAGTTTAAACCCTAATTCCTCTTTCAGCCTCTTATCTTTTCCTCAATATCCATTACCTAAAGCTGGAGATGTATCTAATATTTTTCACAGTGCTGTGGAATTGCCAAGTCTTCATGAATAAAAGTAAAACATCCCTCTTTTTCCAAAAACCTTTAAGCTTTTAGCAGTTGCAACAATAAGCTTCCTCACTCATTGAAACCACTCACATTTTTAGTACAAATAACATTTTAAGACTTTCACTTGCATTGAACAAAGGTTCAAGTATACTTAAATGATAATTAACAACTACAAATTCCTTTCCTTTACACTGAAAAATATATTTTACATAATCTGATCATTTTGTGTTCTTTTCATGTGAAAAGGGAAGAGCCCATATACGTGGCTACCATTTCTAAAATAAATAAATAACTGCCTCAGAGCTTGATAAGGAAAAGATTGAGAATCTGGCATGGTGGCTCATGCCTATAATCCGAGCGACTCGGCAGGCTGAGGCTGGAGGATCACTTGAGCCCAGATGTTCAAGGCTGCAGTGAGCTATGGTCATGCCACTGTACCCCAGCCTGGGTGACAGAACAAGACCCCATCTCAAAAAAAGGAAAAAAAAAAAAGATAAGTTTGCCTACATAAAATATAAACTTACTTGTGCTGCAAAAAAAAAATCATTTAACATTAAACATTAAAATCTAATCAAAAAATGAGAAAGTTTGCATATTAGATGAAAGACAAAGTATTATACAAAGATACAAATCAATAAGAAAAAGACAAACATCCAGTGTAAAAGTGGACAAAAGACATAAACAGTTGAGAATTTTATTTAGTATGTTTGACCACAAGAACAAGGATTTTTATTTTATTTTTTCCCTTTTGTATTTCCAGGGCCCAGAAGAGTGTTGGCACATAGTAGGTTGTCAATAAATAAGTGAATCAGATTCCAAAGAGTTGGTGGGAAGACACTGCAGGTGCAGAGGTGATGCCTAGAGGGCAGCAGCCACGTGTGAGTGTGAGCGCCAGGCCACCTACGAAGGACAGCAGAATGGAGAGTTGGGAAGAACCTGGGTCCCCACTGTGCCAGCCCTGACCTGCCTACCTCTGGACTCCATCTTGTCAGAGAAAAATAAACCTTACCTGGTTAAGCTACCATTGAGTGCCTGCTGTGTACCTCTGAACACAATCTCGGGTGCTACCAGTTCATGGCCCAGAAAGATGGAGAATTGTTCTGAAGATGAAAAGAGGGCTCGAGACAGAACCCCCATGAACTCCAATAATTCAAAGATATGAAGTTGAAGAGGATCCTTTCTAGGGATCAAGAAGGAGTAAGAAATGTGAGAAAACACAGAAGCAAGTGGAATCAGGGAGCAGAGACCAAGTGCTGCGGGAAGGGAAACGCAGGCAACGGACTCAGTTATTCGCAGAGGGAGCTGGGTATTGGGCTGATCACACAGCGGGCAGGAACTTGACAGAGTGTCTTTTTGACGACTCCTGTTTTCTCTGTGAAGTAGCAGCCATGACCATCCGTGGTGGTTACTTCTGTGTGTCAATTTGGCTGGGCTATCGTGCCCAGTTGTTTGGTCGAACAGTAGTCTAAATTTTGCTGTGAAGGTGTTTTGTAGAAACGGTTAACATTCATAATCGGTTGACTTTAAGGAAAGCAGATCATTCTCCAGTGCAATACAAGTCAAATGCCATGAGGATTTTTTATAGAACTTCATGAGCAGATTCTAAAAGTCATACAGAAGAGAAAATATATAAGGATAACTAAGGATAATTTTTAAAAGAAGAATAGGAGCTTATCAAATATTTAAAATATACTATAAAGCTAGAGTAATTAAAAAGGTGGTATCTAAATAAGAATGAACAAATTAGTGGGAAAAATAGAACAAGCAGTAGACCCATGTTGGTCTATTTCTATGTAAGAATGGAATATATGGTAAAAATATTTTGTACCAACAGGAAAAGGATAGACTAGTTAGACAAATAGTTATGGGAAAATTGGATATATACTTGAGAAAAATATAAAGTTAGATACCTCACAATATGTAAAACTAATTTCAGATGAAATCTTGGTGGTAGAAAGGCTTTTTAAAGCAATAGTAAAAATGCAGTAACCACCAATATAGGATTGATAAATGGAGCTTATTAAAATATTATCATTTAACATGTTTCACATCTTTAAAACATGATAAAAGACATTATAAACAAAGTTAAAAGATAAGCAACAACTAGGAAATGAATCTTTTTCACATATATATAACAAAGGATTAATAATCAGAACATTTAAATAACTCTAAAGTCAGAAAAAGACAAAAGGAAAATCAGTAATTCATGAATATATATTTCACAGAAGAAGTGAAAAAAAAAACCTTTGGAAAAATGCTCAATATCACTAGTAATCAGGAAATTGCAAATTCAAATAATGAGATACTTTTTCATCCATCATATTGACAAAATTTACACAGGTCAATATCTGGTGTTGGCGAGGATGTAAAGAGAGGGATAATCTTATATACACTGTTGGTAAGAGGATAAATAGATAAAGCCTTTTGGAACAGCAATTTATCTTAAGTATCAAGAATTAAATGTGCATATACTCTTCAATCCAGAAGTTCTACTTTTTAGTTATCTATACTAGAATAGTAGTTATCCATGTATAGTAATTAGTATCTTAATTGCAGGATAGTAGTTTCAGTCTTGTCATTGGAAGTTACTGAAATATCTGTCAGTAAGGTAAATGGATAAACTCTGGTGTGCCCATAGTATAAAGTACTATGTAGCAGAACAATGAATGGGATAGATCTATTAGTAAGGCCATAGAAGATATCCAAGACATACCACTCGTGAAGAAAGTCAGTTGTTGATGGAATATGATACTATTTATGTTTTTTAAAAAATCACATGCACACAATATTGTGTATCTACCCACCTACCTACCCACCCACCTACTTACCTATGGTATGTGTGTGTGTAATCGAACATTTTAAACCAACGATAGGGTATAATTTTGGTGATAAGGGAAAGAATTGCGGGAGAATGAAGGTGAAGTTTTTCTATATAGAGGTGGGTTTTTTCCCTTAATAAAAAGAAGGTATTTCCAGATAATATGTATAATTAATTTTGTTTTAAAAACCCACCTTTTGATAAAAAGGTGACAGGACAATTAACAGGGGACGTTTATTTTCTTATATACTTTCATATTTTTTCCCCCAATAAACCTGTATTTTTTAATAACCAGCAAAAATGCACTAAGGTGATTTCCATTCTGAAATTATCTTTCATGCTCTTTGGCTCAACCAGCAGAACGTCCTAGGCCTATCCATGTCCTGGCGCCGCGCCCAGGCCCTGTCCCTTGGCATACAGTGAAGTGAGGTGTTCTTGCCTGAGCCATCCCAACTGCTACCTCTGTGCCTGCCAGCGTCACCTTGGCTACCTGCAGAGACACTCCTGTGGCTGTGGCTGCCGCTGCAGTGCCAGTGGGGAGAGCTCCCTCCCCATCGGGTTGCAATGGTGATTAATATGAGATGAGCGGGGAGAAGCAAAGGAAGGCAAAGTACAGAGGGCCAGGCCTTCCAAAGGAGAAGCCCTGTTTCCCCAGTACCGTCACCGGGACCCACGTCACATCTCTCTGATTAATCTGGCTCTCCCAGTTTCTCTCTCTGGAGAAACTTGAGATACGTTTCCCGACAGCTGGGTCAGAGGGCAGTCAGATGCAGTGTCCCATTGCACTTCCCTTGCCACCTGCCCTGGGGTTCCAGACCACACCTGGCACTTCATCTCTCCCCCACCTCAAGCTGGCTTCTCAGCAGAAGCTTCTGGAATGGCTTTAGCTGTCTCTGCCTCCCACCTCCCCAATGAGGTATTCTAGAGTCTCAGGCCTGGGCCCGACATCTGCCCTACTTGGCTTCCCTCTTGCTCTAGGGAAGTCCGTATGTCCATGGCATGACCTGGTAGACTTATGACACATCTTTGGTGCCACCTTCTGGGTCCCTTCCCTGGGACCTTCCCACATGTAACAGTCCCATTAGCTGTTTTATTTGAAGTACAGAATAGTAGCCTAAGTCTATACTTGGTTTATTTTGTGATTAATCCTCTTTACCACGTTTATTGTGATTCCAGACTGTATTGTGTGTGTATGTGTAGGGTGTTGATTCTAAAGAACATGGCTAATAGGTAATGCTGCTCTGTTAATAAACCTCATTTATACATAATAAATCAGCTGAAAGGCAGATAGATTCAAGGTACTCATTACTAGTTTTCAGTAAGTGGTTACACTAGCCTTCTCATTGAGTGTGTTTCTTAGTATATTTTCTTTAAAAAACAAAATCGGCTGATGGGAAGTTAAAGTAATGCTGACTTTGTTTCATCAGAAATAAAAACTTAACTCAGGAGGACCTCAACCATTATCTGTGGCTCATGCTCTCTAAATTTTCTCTGGAACAGGTTGATATTCCAGATTCCTGTCTCTCCAAGATGCCCAGTATCACATACCCAGCGATAAGAGAGATTTTTACTCAGCAAGGAAAATACTTATTTTCCTTATTATTATTTTTTTTTTGAGGAGAAAATATTTTCATTCTCATTAATTTTTATGGCTGGTAATGTTTTTTCATTATGTTTACCCAAAAGAGTCTGGACTAAATAAAGTGTAGAACCAAAGCCATTTGAAATGTCTTCCTGGCCAAGAATATATTGCAACCATCTCAGGGAAATTTCTGATCTCAGGAAAGACAAACGGAACCTTGGCTGGTTAGAAAGGGAAACTCACAGACTCCAGGCCTTGCTTTCTGTTTTTTTTTTTCCTCTGAAAGCTTGGAAGTGGAATCACAGTTTATTTGTTGAATGTGCTCTTTTTGTTTCTCGTAACCGTGGTGATTTAGTTGAGTGTTTCTTATGTCAGGCTACTGCTGAGCCAATATTTATCATTTTAGAAATTTCCATGAGTCATAAAATAAACCCGCAAGCCTGCTGTACCTTGTATGGGCGTTTCTTTCCTAGAGTTATTTAAAATAAAAGGAAAAAAATGCTGAACCTAGAATCCAACAGTTGGGATTTATCGGGACACATCCATACTTTCTCCTGGGTGGAGACTGCTTCTCTAACATTTCAAAAGCCCTTCAGCACATCCGAGGTGTGCTGCCTGCTGCCTGAAGCACGCTGCCCCCCTACCCCCCAGCCCAGACCTCTCTCCAGAGGGCAGGGTCTGGGCTGAAGAAGAAAGGAAGCTTTGGAGGTTTGCAGGGAGGAAGTGACTCACTAGCTCAAGGGGTGGGAGGAGTGTCTTTCTGCAGGATCAAGAATAAAAATGAGTAAGTGATCCCTTCCACCCTGGAAAATTTTTTTAGAGGACCAACTCTTAATGACTGGGCCTGAATTTACTGGTCACTCATCTCCCACCCCCACCCCTGCAAAAAAGAAAAATAGAACAGGACTGATTGCAAGATGTGACATATTTGATTCATTTATGTGTAAGGGTGTGTGAAGCTAATGCTGTTTGCTCCCTTTGCGCCAGTCAGCTCCCTTTCCCCGGACGTGGATAAGTGAGAGAACCCATTACACCTGCAGTCTGGACAATTATAGCAATTCATTGCTCTTGCTATAAAAAACAGAACCTGCGTCTAGAGCCCAACGCCTAGAGTTTATAGATCAAAATTTCAAGGGCCTGCCTTAGCATTACCAGGATACTCCAAAAATTGCTAAGGCTGTGCTCAATAAATCTGTAGAGCACAGGCATCACACTTTTGAGTTTAAAGGGGTCAAACTGATTAACACCTTCAGTTTACAGGTGAAGACAAGGAGGCTCAAAGAGGTGCCCCTTGCAGAGGTCATGTGGCCAGTCAACAGTAGGGCCAGGAAAGATAAGAGCTCGAGTCAACCAGAATCAAATACCTCATTGGAGGACTGCTGATAGAAACATTGAAGTCTTAGTGATAAAAGTTAAACAGTTATACTAAAAGACACTCTAATTTCATATCCTGATAATTGCCCTTTGGCTGTTTCTGGCAGAGTTGTCCTTGAATACAACTTTGAGTTCCCTCCTTGGGAAGAACTGGGTTTCTTTGTCTGAACCATCATTTGGCATCCTTCCTCCCACACCCAGAAGAAGGGAAAACTAGGAAGTTTAAGCCAGAGTAGTCTCCAAAAGAAAAAAAAAATACCCCAAAAATCCCATTCATGGCTAGGAGCAGGGGCACTCACCTACAGTCCTAGCTACTCAGGAGGTTGAGGAGGGAGAATCACTTCAGCCCAAGAGTTCAAGTCCAGTCTAGGCAACACAGCAAGACACCATCTGTTAAAAAAACAAAAAATAAAAAATGCCATTAATATTTACATCTATCTTATATATCTTGGACCATGAACCATGGAGTCTAATTTTGGGGTAGGAACTTTAGGTGTTCTTTTCCTCCAAACATCAAACTCTAAGTAACCCCTGCAGCCATCTCTTCTGTACTCATATTTACCAATGTAAGTGAGGAGTCATGTTATTGACAAACACTTCCTTACTCTGTGAATGTCTCACTCATCAGGTTTGGTAACATTTCCTGGTGTGATCTGCCCCACCACTCAGTAGCCTGAGAATTCCCAGGGGAAGCTAGGCCAAGTATATCTTGGTGTTTATCTGTTTTCACTTGTGATCTGTTGATCTTCATATTCCTGGCAGCTAACGTGGCCACAGCTGGCACACAGTGGGACCTCAGTGAACATCTGTCAAATCTAACTGAAAAATTTCAAAGTGGCATCCCATTGTGAATGTAAACAAGATACTTGTTTTGCCCCCACATGCAAACTTTTATTTTTAACACTTAGCTCCTCTCTTTCTATGAGAAAATCAGGAGGTAATAACTGATGATGAGATTATGCAAACAATTCTTTTATAAGTCCAGGCAGCTCAGACTCCTACTGGGTTAGCAATGCATTAGATTGAACCATAAGAAATTCTTGTTTTTGTAGGTCAAAGACAGTTGAACATTATCAGCAGGAAACTGTTCAATCTCATCTAATAGAAAATAATATGACTATAAATACATCACTCATTACTGAGGCTGTAATTCAGTTTTTTCAAAAATCCACCCTGATCTCCCACCATGTTCTCTATGGCCCTACATGATGGTTATCCTTCAGCCTCAGCTGGGTCCACTCCTCTGGCTCGCCAGCCCCCTTCCTTCTGTTCGTTGAACACCCCACACTCATCCCCTCCACCTGTAATACTCTCCCTCCAGATCTTCACATGGCTGGGTCCTTCCTGGCATTTAAGCCTCAGCTTAAATCCCACCTCTTCAAAGAAGACTTCTCTGAGTACCAATTTAAATAGCACCCTCCCCGCCCCCAAGGACTCTCAGTCATATCACCCAGTCTCTTTGTCACCAAAGAACCTATCACTCACAACCCAGGACTTTTTTGTTTTAGCTGTTTGTTGGCCTCTGGCAGACTGGAATTTAAGCTCCAGGACAGCAGGAACCTTGTCTGCTTTATTCATGGCTCTGAACAGAGCAGGCACATCATAGGCACAAAATAAATGTTGAAACAATGGATTCAGTAGTTAATTTTCAAAAAGTAACAGAATCAAAGGTGCAGTCATTATTTCTGCAAATATTTCCTTCTCTTTCTCTTGTTTTACTAATTTCACTATCCTGGGATTCCTTTATACAACATGGGCCCTTTTCGCTCTATCTTTCTTGCTTCAAACTTTTCTCTCATTCTTTGCATCTCTTTATCCCTCTGGTTTGTTTTCCACCCCATCCACTGAATCTTTTATTCCTAATGTCTCCAATTTTTCCATAACTGCTAGTTTCTCCTATTGGCTTCCCAATACCTCTCCTTACCTTTCTGAGAATAGTTAACTGTGCTCATTTTAATGTCTTGTGCTGTTTCTTCTTCTTGACTGGATTCAGCTTGCTGTTTTTCTTTCTTGGATTCCTCTTATGTCTCATTCTTTACCTCTATCTTTATTTGCAGACTCATACATATGTCCTTAGGATTTCCATCTACCTGGGCTTGCAGAGGATACCTGGGGGAAGAGTGAGAACTGGTGACGCTCTTGGAGAGTTGATGGAGAGACAGGTAGGGATGCACCAGGCTGGGCAATCACTGATATTGTAACCTGGGCTCAACCTTACACCCCAGCCACGAAGCCGAAGCCAAAACCAAAGCTGAAGGGTGGCCCTTACAAATGATTTCCCGTTCCCCACCCCTCTCTATTCTAGGATATACATATTTACTCTTCAGAGCTAGGGGAGGGGAAGGAAAGCTCCAGCCTGGGCAGTCCATTTGCACGTGTTGGTATTACCTTCCCGACCCCAGCAGGGCACCGGAAGGTGCATTGACATTACCTAGTGGCTTCGGGGCATGGGCACTTTGCCAGTTCTGAGGTTTTCACATCCTACAGTAGCTGTGGGAGAGGCAGAATTCTGCAGAGAATAGTGGGACAGGGTAAGCAAAAATGGGTCCCAACCAGAAAGCCTGTCACTACCAGCTTGTTACTGTGACATGCCATTCTTCTCCTTGGACTGTCATTTTCCTCCCATTCTTACCCATGGAAAACAGTCCTATTTTTCCTAAAATGACTTCTTCTGAGATTTCAGAAAAGCCCTCATTTTTATATGTTAAAATTTGCTACAAATTTTCTAGTTACTTTCCTCCTGTCATGATTTTATGACTTGTAATTACACTCAACCCTTGGGCTTCTTTACCTCCTGAAGAGTTGTAACTCATTTAGTCTATTCTTAAAAAAACAAAACACCTTGATTCCCTCATTTGCCCCTTTCTGAATCCTTTGGCAGCTCATTTTTCTTTCTTCAGAAGTGCAACAACCAGATTAGAATTGTAGAAAGAATGTACCATACCTATGAAAAATGGGATGACAACATGGATAAATCCTCAAGAGATACTACTGAATGAATGAATAAAAACAAGCTGAAGTGCTATATATATGTACCGTTGAGACCACCTGTATTCTTTAAAATGCTCTGTGTTGTAATACAGTCTGGAAGGTTCCATGTTAAACTGATAAACACTGCCATATCTACTCTGCTCTGGGTGTGTGTATGAGGAATTGTGGGACTGTTGATTTATCCCTACATTGTGTTTCCTTTTTAGAACATTTCCCAAAAACTTTCCTAAGATATCTGGCTTCATAGATGAGCTTCAGAACAGTCCATGAGCTCCCCGAGATTACAAGCCAAGCTTTGTGAGTAGGAGCAAACATCCATCTTTCTAGAGTTTATACTATTCAAAAGAATCTCAAAGGGCACATATGGGCCAAGAGAGGTTAAGAACAATTGGTCAAGCTTGCTGTGCCACTTTCTACTCCATCTTCTCATGGTGTAACTCAAGTGACACACTATTATCTGAAAAACACATATAATTGGTCAATCTTTAACATTATACAATAGTGGTACATGACTTTTACTCTATCATAAGGACTAATAGAGAAATCAATAATGTCACCATGTGGTACTGTATTATTCCCATGAATATGCTTAAATATATTTAGCCTTTTCCTAAAATAGATGCCAGGGCCCTTGGGGCTGCCTTGTCCACCAGGCTATGGGCAGTGAGGAATGTCCAGAATGTATTTTCTACAGCTTCCATTTGTTTCATTTTGCCCTCTGTGGTTTGCACCCCCTCAGAGGGTATTGAAGGAGAAACAAGAAATGCCGCATTTCTCTTGTTCAGCCTCACCCACAAGTGATGTGTCATCTGGCCCGATGGCAAAGGGCTTGGGTCAGATGTCTTATTCCCCCAGGCTCCCACTGAAAGTCTCTTCACCTTATCTGTCTGTAGAATGAGACCAGTAATAATATCTACCTATGGCAGTTAGAGTTCGTTATCTCCCAATATCCATTTTCCCCTTCTTCCTTAGTAGAGGAACCCCGATGTCTTAGCTGAGCACACTGTTAGCTAGAAAACAGACCACATTTCCCAGCCTCCCTTGCAGCGATATGACTAAGTCCCGGTCAATGAGATAAAAGCAGAAACTCTACATGGGAAGTTTCTACAAAAAAGGGGGTGCCTTTTTATCTTTTTTCCTTTCTTTCTGCCTAGAGTGTGGAAGTAATGGCTGATACTCTAGCAGTTATATTGGACCATGAAGTGACCATAGGAAAGTGTCTTACAGCAAGGTAACAGTATAGAAACTGGGTTTTGGGCTAGACACAGTGGCTCACGCCTGTAATCCTAGCACTCTGGGAGGCCGAGGCGGGCGGATTGCTCGAGGTCAGGAGTTCAAAACCTGCCTGAGTAAGACCCCATCTCTACTATAAATAGAAAGAAATTAATTGGACAACTAATATATATAGAAAAAATCAGCTGGGCATGGTGGCACATGCCAATTGCTTGAGCCCAGGAGATTGAGGTTGCTGTGAGCTAGGCTGACGCCACGGCACTCACTCTAGCCTGGGCAACAAAGCGAGACTCTGTCTCCAAAAAAAAAAAAAAAAAAAAGAAACTGGGTTTTGAACACCACCAAGTTAATAAGCTAAATCTGAATTGCTTGCCTCTGCATTTCTTTTATGCACAAAGTACACATCACACACACAAATAAAATGTAATAGTGGCTTAAGCCGCTATTTTGTAAGTTTTTGCTACTTATAGCCAAATACAATCCTTACTAAAATACTATTTTTATTCATTTAATAAATATTTATTGAATATGCACCTGGTGACAATCCCTGTTCTAAGCATTTGAGACAAGGCAATGAACAGAACAGAGAAAACCCCAGCCTTGATAGTTACTTTTTATTAAGGGAGATGGATGATAAGCAAAGTGTATAATGTGTTAGATAATAATAAATACAATGACAGGAACAAAACAGAAAGAGGGAGACAGAGGGTGCTTAGGATGGTAGTTTCCATTTTAAACAGGCAGGTAGACAAGACCTCAAGAGAACATGATGTTTCTGCAGGACTCTAAAGAAGTGAAGGAGCAAAGCTTGTGAATAATTGGGGAAGGAGTATTCTATGTAGAGATGCTACAAATGCAAAAGCTTTGAGGTAGGAGCATGTCCTGGGCATCTGAAAAAAAAAGGAAGCCAGGTGGCTGGGATAAGGTGGGCTGGGGAGGGAGCAGTATGACCTGAGATCAAAGCAATAGCTTGGAAGCTTCAAAGTGTTACTGGGACAACTAAATGAGATTGAAACCCTATAAAATTAATCCGGCTCAGGCTCAACTTCTAGTAACAAAGTCGTGCGTTACTTTTCAATCGCCAACAATGCTTAGGCTGAAGATCTTGTAACTTGAGCACACCCAGATGAACCAAGCATGCAACCACGGTGGGAACCTAAGTGCTTGCACCGAAGAGTGGAGACGGAATTAAGAAGTGGACATTGATGGCAGGATCCAGGATCCAATCAGTTTGAGCCCTGGCATCACCCCACTGAAAGATTCTGTCAGATCTCATGTCATTATCCTCTGACTATAAAACCACCTCAACCCCCTTGTTCAGGGACACACTATTTTGGGAACTATCCCTAGTGTGTTCCTTACTTGAGTCAACTAATAAAGCCATTTGCTATAACCAGCTTGGCTGTGTCTATTGACTTGCTACCCACCAAGCAAATGAAACCCTCTGTTTGGGAAGTAACAAGATGATGTCCATGCCATTCTTGGAATAGTGCCTGGCACATATTAATAGTACATGCTCAATTAATGTTTTCTTTCCCCTTAAACTGTCCCCTCCAAATTTTCAAACATAGGGAAAAGTTGAAAGAATTATACATAGAACACCTGAATGCTCCACCTAGATTATACAATTAACATTAATAAGTTATTGGGCCAGGCGTGGTGGCTCACGCCTGTAATCCTAGCTCTCTGGGAGGCCAAGGCGGGTAGATTGCTCAAGCTCAGGAGTTCGAAACCAGTCTGAGCAAGAGCGAGACACCCGTCTCTACCATAAATAGAAAGAAATTAATTGGCCAACTAATATATATAGAAAAAATTAGCCAGGCATGGTGGCGAACGCCTGTAGTCCCAGCTACTCAGGAGGCTGAGGCAGTAGGATTGCTTGAGCCCAGGAGACTGAGGTTGCTGTGAGCTAGGCTGACGCCATGGCACTCACTCTAGCCTGGGCAACAAATTGAGACTCTGTCTCAAAAAAAAAAATTAGTTATTGTTATCACAGGTCTATCTACCTATCAACCTAACAGTCCATCTTAGTTTTTGGGATACATTTTAAAGTTGTGGATTTCAGTACACTTAACCTCTAAACATTTCAGCATGTATATTATTAACTAGAGTTCAGTATTTGTTTAGGCAAGGGTTCTTTGTTCTTTTCTAGGTAAGATTTACATATGGCAAAATGCAGAAGTCTTAAGATGAGTTTTGACAAATGTACATATGTAATCTAAACCCCTAACGAAGTAAAAAACCATTACCCTCACCTCTAAAAGTTCCCACAGGCCCCTCCCCAGTCCATAATCCACATTCCCACCCCAGTTAACACCTATTCTGAAATTCTTTTTACCATAGTTTAGTTTTGCCTGTTCCAAAATGCCTCAAAGTTTTAATAAAAAGTCAATGGAGAATAAACAAATATTCTTGAATACTGTGGGAAGGATTATAAATTGGTATAGCCTTTTTAGAAGATAATCTGACAATATGTAATTATAAAAATAAAAATATATGCACTTTCCTTTTCACCTAGTAATTTGAATGAGAGGAATTTTCTAAGAAGTATTCTAGCTCAAGTATGCAAAGAGGCAGATCACAAGGTTGTTCACTGAAGCATTGTTTGTGATTGGTAAGAACTGGAAATAACCTAATGACTAACAGTAGGGGAAATTTAAATAATGTACCGTCATTCTTTTCAGCAATGACATGATTTATTGACATGGCAAGATTGTCAAGATAATTATTAAGTGCACCAAAGCACGCTACAACTACATAACCAGTACAAAACCATTACACAAAATATATGTACAAGGTGTATTTCTCTGTAAGGCCACACACTAAATTGACAATAGTTATAGGGTTAAAATTATTTTTTAAAAAGACTACAGACATAAATAAGTGCAGAGGATAGGGAATAGATTCATTTGTGAGGAGGCAGGAGAGAGACTAAAAAAGTTTTTTCTATGCTATATACTGACAGGATTATGTCACCTGGCAAAGGAGCTTTTCCCAGAATTTTTTAAAGAGAAGATAGGGTCTTGCTATGTTATCCAGGCTGGTCTGGAACTCGTGGCCTCAAGTGATTGGCCTCCCAAAGCACTGGGATTATAGGTGTGAGTCACCGGGCCCAGTCCCCAGACTATCTATTAATATGCATCTCTAAGCTGCTTGTTAATGTATAATTTATTCTTCCCTGCCACTCATATTAATGGCTTTAAATAAAAGTGCTTATATACTCACAGATTGTTAAGTATACAAAATGTTTTCTAAATGAGAAATGGAATATACTGATCTTATATTTAAGGAGACACTTTATGTGTTTGAGTCTATTTGGGCTGTTATAACAGAACACCATAGATTGGGTGGCTTAGAAACAACAGAAATTTATTTCTCATTGTTCTGGAGGCTGGGAAGTCCAAGATGAAGGCACCAGCAGATTCAGTATCTGGTGAGGGCCAACTTCCTGATTCATAGATGGTACCTTCTATATTCTCACAATCATGAAAGGGGCAAGACAAGGCAGCTCTCTGGAACCTCTTTTATAAGGGCACTGATCCCATTCATGGGGGCTCTGCCTTTATGACCTAATCACCCCGCAAAGGCTCCATCTCCAACTACCATTATGTTGGGGATTATGTTTCAATATTTGAACTTTGGGAAGGCATAAACATTCAGACTATGGCATTATGTTTAAAAATTTTCCCTCTCAGGGTAAGGAGGAATGAAAATATCTGGAAAACTAAATGGGTTTAAATGTGGAGGCTAAAGTTCAATGAGACCTTCCAAGGGAGGGCTCATTGAATTGAGCATTGAGGGCTACAATAAACTGATATGGAAGTTTGCCTGATAAATCATAAAACATTTTCGGGTATTGGTTCACTTACTCAACAAACATTTATTAAACACCTATATGTATCGTAGGCTATGCCAATTCATACTAATATATCCTGAATATCCCTTGACTTCGAGGAACTCCCAGTCTCATCTGGCAGCAGTGGCAAACAAATACAAACAAATAATTATGGAGCTACATCAACAATAGGGAAAACTTGTAAAACCTTCAAACACAAAGCTGTGGCCTGAAGACCAGCAGCATCTGCATCAAATGAAAACATCTAAAACCCCACCTCTAAATTCCTGAGTCTGCAATGTTAACAAGATCCCCAGTTGATCTGGATGCTTACATGAACTGAAAATCGTAAGCCCCTCAGCTGACTGACTGGACCCTGCCTTCTGGTCAAGGAGACCCCAGACATACCCTAAAGCTGAGTTGCTGGCCATGAGAAGGGACGTCAGACAAGCCTCATCATGCTCCCCTCCCTTCTTAGAGATATACAATGTAACTCATTAACAGGCTTTAGGCTATATAAGGCAAAGGTTAAATCACACCTGCTTGTCAATTTACTTATCACTTGAGTCTGGGTATTTGTCCATATATGGGATGGCTTGTCTCTGATTAACATACTTCCTTAGCTTTTCTTTTTTAAAAATAGACAGGGTCTCATTCTATTGCCCAGGCTGGAGTACAGTGGCAGGTTCATAGCTCACTGTAGCCTCGAACTCCTGGGTTCAAGGGATCCTCTTGCCTCAGCATTCCGAGTAGACTTTCTTTCTTTCTTTTTTTGAGACAGAGTCTCACTTTGTTGCCCAGGAGAGTGCTGTGGTGTCATCCTAGCTCACAGCAACCTCAATCTCCTGGGCTCAAGTGATCCTACTGCCTCAGCCTCCTGAGTAGATAGGACTACAGGCATGCACCACCATGCCTGGCTAATTTTTTGTATATATATTTTTAGTTGGCCAATTAATTTCTTTCTATTTTTAGTAGAGATGGGGTCTTGCTCTTGCTCAGGCTTGTTTCGAACTCCTGACCTGGAATGATCCACCCTCCTCGGCCTCCCAGAGTGTTAGGATTACAGGCGTGAGCCACCTCGCCAGGCCCCAAGTAGACTTTCTTATCCTAAAACATTCTAAGCCCTTTAGACAAAGCTTCATTTCCCTAACCCATCACAAATCAAAGAATCTTTAAACCCACCTCTAACCTGTTTTGAGATGTACTGCTTTTTCAGATCAAACCAATGTATACCTTCCATGTACCTTCACGACTTTATGTGTAATTTCTCACAAATTTGGCTTGGAAAAAACCTCTTTAAATTATTTGACAGAGTTTGGGTTCTTTTCAACTGATACTTATTATGATTTGAGAAGTGATGAATTGGAGGATTATAGAAGGAGGAACCAGAATCGGTCCCTTGGGATGTGGTCAGTGAAGTCTTCAGAAGGGAGAGGTGACAGGAACATTCCAGGATGAGAAATGAGCAGGCCCATCATCATGGCAGTTAAGAACTGCAAGTGTTCCGGAATGAGAAGTTTAGTCCAGGAAGACCAGTGGCCACTCTGGAAGATGTGGGACATAAGACAGAAAAAGTAGGCTGAGGCCAGAGGCAGAAAGGCCAGACTGACCTGCTGAGGATTCTGGAGGAAGCCACTGAAACTTTTAAGCAAGAGGGGAGGGGGGAGAAAATTTTAAGCAGGAAAGTAACAGGACATAACTCTGGTGGCAGAGTGGAGGATGAAACGCAGAAGTGAGGCTGGAGCTGGCAGACATGTGTCCTTAAATGAGCACTATTCATCTTTGGAATAGAAAGGAAGCCTGATACTTAGAGGTGGAGGGCGCCTCTGAGTCTTAGGCAGACAGAAAAATAGAATTCCAGCTGCAGTTGGAAACAGGTGGGTTCTTTCTCATCAGCCCAGGAGTGTGGTCTTCAACCAGCATCATTAATACCACCCGGGAATTGATAAAAATGCAAATTATTACTTTAGAATTACAGAGTCAGAAAACCTGGGGTTGGGGCGCACAAATCTGACTTTGAACAACTTCTCCAGGTGATTCTGCGGCATGCTAAAATTGAGAACCACTGATCTAGCCTGCCAAAAATCTTGTAGCAGGTGGTAGAAGCTTAAAATTGCCAGAACTTGCTTACTGTCCTAACAAAAAGAGAGTAATGTAAAATGGATGTCTATGTTGAGTGGGAAGAACAAAAGCCACATATAATCTAGATTTTATATAGTGCCCAGAAAAAAGCAAAAAACATACTGACCATCTTGTCCAAAACCACATATTTGTAGAATTAAAATAGTTTTGGAAGAGGCCACGATGGTCTCAGTAGCCTAAATAAGTAAAACTTATTTTTTTTAAGTAAAAATAATCATCCCAGTTGTAAATTCTTTCTGTTCCCTTTATTCCCCACAAAAACACCCTCAGGAAAAACGTTGGGATGCCTTCTAGCCCTCAGGAAACTGTGTTTCTGATGCAACCTCCCTTAGAAAAAACACAATCCCAAATTAAAAACCCAAAAACGCGGAGCAGCGAGGCTGGCGCCATCATCCCAAGACAACGCAGCCGTTTCCCAGCCACACCCCTGCGGGCCGCCAGGCCTGCTTCCCGCGGCTGTTCCCAAAGATAAATAAATCCGTCCTTGTTTTTCCAGACCTGAAATTAGCGGTGACTCACAGAACACTCTGAACGGCCACGGTCGCCTCGGGAAGGAGGAAAAATGTGCAGATTTTTCCCCTCACGCGAGGGCCCGAAGTGCCGGGCTCGGCCAATCAGGGGAGGGTGGCGGGAATCGCACCAAAGTAGGTAAAAAATGCGGGATGCGTCCCCGGGCCGCGGCCTGCCGCTCCGCTCCAGCTGCCCCTCCCGCGTGACCCCGTCCTCTGCGGCCCCGCCCACCCCTCCTCCCCTTCCTCGGCCCCGCCCCCCGCGGCGGCGCGCACCTGGCCAGGTGGCTACTGCTATGTAAGGGCTTCAGGGCGCAGTGGGCGTGGCGCCACACGGCCCCGCCCGAGGAGGGGAGGAAGGACCCCCCCCCAAAGCACACATACACCGGTCATTTTTTGTCCGCCTTTCGTCAGCAGGCGCCAGCCCAGTCCCCTTCCGCGCCCAGCAGACGAGGAAGGACAGGCCCCCACCTACAAACACCAGAGCTGGTGAGGGGCGCCCCGCCCCCCAGTCTCGAGCAGGTGAGCTAGGCCCGCGCTCGCCCGAAGTCCGGACGGCCGCCGGGGCGGGGCGTTGCCAGGCCGACCGGTTGCGTAGCAACGGCGGGCGGTGCGTGACGTGCGCAGCCGCGCTTCGGCCCGAGGCGCGCCCGCCCCTTGTTAGACTTGCGCCGCCGCGTCAGCTCCGCGCTCGGTCTCTCGGCCCGCAGCTGTGAGGAGGACGCTCTGCAGTCTCCGCGCCCGCCGGCTCCCTCCCCTGCGTCCCTGCGACCACCGCGGCGAAAATGGTGAGTCGGAGGGAGCCCGACTGGGGGGTTGAGGCGGCCTGGGCGCCGTATCTCCGGGGCGCCGCGGAGTCGGGGCTCTGGAGGGCGAGCCGCGCCCGGCCGAGGCAGGGACCCGGGCCGGGCTGCAGTCTCCGGGCGGAGCATGGGCTCGGGCTTGTGCCGGCTCCACTGGGCCTCGGAGCCCCGGGGCGGATCCCCGGCCGCTGCGTCGCTCCCAGTTGCTGCGAGGCCGGTGCCCCGGAGCGTGGCCTCCGCCGTGCCTCCGCCGGGCCTCGGCATGACTGGCCCGGGCCGAGCACCCCCACTGTGGAGTAAGTAGATCCCGGGGTCTGCAGTCTCGCGGGCGGGAGCGCGTCGGAATCCGGCGGCAGTCTGGCTGGCGCGGGTTTCCCGAAAGCTGGCGCTGAAGCGGCCAGGGACTCGTTTGCGTTTCGGTCCTTGAGGTCTGTCCATCTCAATAAGGAAATTAAGGCCTTTACTGAACCATCCTAGAGGGTAGAATGCTCGCCACCGAGCGTGACCCTGGCGTGATGTAGAACTGGGTAGCCTTGCAGCCGCTTTGTTTCTTCTTTTTTTTTTAATCTGGCAATCAGCTTTCAGCAGCACTCTCATTGTGCTTGTCAAGCGTGGCAGTGCCTCTTTTAACCCTCTCCTGTCCAATTTGTCCATGTATGGTTAGAAATTTTATTTTACCTGTAAACAGTTTGGTTCTACCAGAACTTAGTGTGTAGGGTATGAGCATGATGCTGGTATGCCAATACAAGCAAATTTCAGAGCATTTAAAAAGTCAGTTAATTTACTGAGGTCACTAAAAAGTAAATAGATTCTGCCCAGTATTTTCTGTATGATGGACATTTTGCTTAATTTACATGTTTTTCCCTATCTAAACTGTCACTCTAACGTGCTGTGAAACAGTATTCTCAGCCAGGGGATCAGATCAGGTAGAACATTTTGTCATTTTCTGTAGTCTGCACGGACTGTTACCATTTTTGGTCAATGATTTGCAGGCAAAGCCTTACCAGACTTTGCTAGAAATATTACACTGTTAGTGCATCTGTCTGCCTGGAAGCAGTTGGTAATAGCTTATCTGCATACAGACTTCACTGAATTACAGTTTTGGTTTTCTTGAGGTATTACCACTTTCATGAAGATGCAGGCTGGCTCTTTAGGGAAAGAAAAAGATTAACAGGTGGTTTTTTGATGACTGAAGATATGTAATAGAGATTCGATATTTTTCAGTTTTTGGTTCTTGTTTGGTTTAATGCTGTAAGCTACAAAGGCTTAGCACCTTAAGTCTTTTTAACCTCTTTAAGATTTTAGATGTATATACTACTTTATACTGAAAAATCTAAGGGCTTTGAGTTCTGATACGTTTAAGACCATCCACTCTGTGAAAGTGCTTTAAAGTGGACTGGAGCCTGTTCTGGGGTCTTCTGATTTGACATTCTGGTTTTTTTGAGTTGCTAATACGCTTTATTTTTCTATTTGAAAATAGGGCCAAACATTTTAACTTCAGTTAAATGATTAGTTTCAGTTAAACTTTAACTTCTGTTCTTCTGTACATTCAAATAAAGGAAGAGTGTGTTATATTTTCTGGTATTGGCAGGGAGAGGTAGAAATAAAGCTGAGCTGATTCCAAATACATTTTAAACTTGTTGGCCTTATGAAGGTCAGGAAGACCTTACAAACTACTCTTGTTTAGAATGAGAATTCGAAATATAGACTGACCCTTTTTTTTTTTTTTTTTTTTTTTGAGACAGAGTCTCACTCTGTTGCCTGAGCCTAGCTCACAGCAACCTTAAACTCCTGGGCTCAAGTGATCTTCCTGCCTCAGCTTCCCGAATACTGGGACTACAGGCATGGGCCACCATGCCCAGCTAATTTTTTCTATATATTTTTAGTTGGCCAATTAGTTTCTTTCTGTTTTTAGTAGAGATGGGGTCTCGCTGAGTTTCGAACTCCTGACCTTGAGCGATCCACTGGCCGTGGCCTCCCAAGAGTGCTAGGATTACAGGCGTGAGCCAGCACGCCCGGCCCATTTTTAAAGATTGGTTTTCTATTTAGCTTTTTGAGCACAGGAGCATCTTAATTCAGTCCAGCAATTAGAAAATACTGTGGTTCTTATCCCAGGTTAGATGCTTCGTTCCAAGTTTCTTTTTAATGTTAAATTTTAACTGCTGATGGATTTGTTTTAAATTAGCAGAATCACTTCCTGATACGCACCAAATCTTCTAGAAGCACTTGAAATAAAGCAATTTGAAACCAACTCAAAAAATCATCATCCTGGGCACTTTAGGATGAGATTTCGTGTTGCCAAAAATAAAAACAAAAAGTCTGCCTCCTTGAACTACATTTACACATATCAAACAAAAGTTGTGTGTGTGTGTGTACTGGGTGTGCCAGCTTCCTTATACAAAGATTATTTACCAGCTCACCATCAAGTTCCTAGGGTTATTTGCTCAGTAGTTCTATTGAGTATGGATTGAGATATCACAGGTAGACTTGCCTACCTCCTTTTGTAACCAAAGTGTGCATTTTCAGCTTAACTATATGGCTGTCTGGAAAGTAGGAATGTAGTCTTGCCGGGGAAATAGAATTCAAAGGTCTGTATGATAAGCCCTTAACTTTACCTTAATCTGAACTTTGCTCCAACAAACTGAGTTAATTGGCTTAGGAATTACTATTGTATTCTACCACAGTCATTAGCAAAAATACTTTCAATTAAAACAACCAGTGAAGTAGGTTGGGCATGTGTTTATGTACCTGTTTAACATATGAAAAAACAGCTTGTAAAGGATTAATTGACTTGTGAGAAATCACTTTTTCTGACTCATATCAAGCTTTAAAATAACTTAAACATTAATTTTGAAACATTTTTTTTTGAGACAGAGTCTCACTTTGTTGCCCAGGCTAGAGTGAGTGCCATGGCGTTAGCCTAGCTCACAGCAACCTCAAACTCCTGGACTCAAGCAATCGTGCTGCCTCAGCCTCCCCAGTAGCTGGGAATACAGGCATGCGCCACCATGCCCAGTTAATTTTTTTTTTTAAATATATATTAGTTGGCCAATTAATTTCTTTCTATTTATAGTAGAGACAGGGTCTCGCTCTTGCTCAGGCTGGTTTCGAACTCCTGACTTTGAGCAATCCACCCACCTCGGCCCCAGCCTCCCAGAGTGCTAGGATTACAGACTTGAGCCACCGTGCCTGGCCAATTTTGAAACATTTTAAGGAGGAAAGTATACAGAATAACAAATTTCTTTCTGGTAATAAAAAGTTAACTTTTTGCCTTATTTCAGATTTTTATGTTACTGTAACAGCTAAATATATGTCTTCCTCATCCCATTCCCTTCCCTCCCCAGAGATAACCACTCTTGTGTCAAAGACATAATATGCCAATTAAGAAGATGGCAATTGCAATTAGGAGAACATTTCTAATTTCTTTATCTGAGTATATGCTACAGGCCAGTCCTTTTCAGTTACCTGTTTCCCAGAGCACAAAATGATGGGGGTGGATTGCATAACATCACTGCTTTCCAGGTGCACAGGAGTCAGGTAAAATTAAACATGCTCACCTGAAATTAATATATTTCATTTTCATTGCTATTTCCATACTTTCAGCTATAGATAATATATCCTTTTTAAAAATATTTTTATTTTTATATTTTTGGCCTGCCTACATGTCCATGATAATGTATTCTTAATAATGTATATTGCCTTGATGTGTTTTTAAAATTTATATAAATGTTATGCTTCAGGTATTTTTTGTAGCTCTTTGAAAAAAATTAAACTTTATGGGTTTTTTGAGGAGGTGAGTTTTTGGTTTTAGCTGTAGTTCTAGTTCTTTAATTTATTTATTTTGAGACAGGATCTTGCTCTGTTGCCTGGGCTAGAGTGTAGTGTCATCATCATAGCTCACTGCAACCTCAAACTCCTGGGCTCAAGGGATCCTTCTGCTTCAGCCTCCCAGGCATGTGTCACTAATTTTTTTAATTGGTTCTTTAACTGCTGAATAGTATTCCATTGTGTGGCTATACAAGTTTATCCTTTCACCTATTGATAGGTGTTTGGAAATTTCCCCAATTTTCTGCTCTTTTTACTTTTTGGTCTACTTAAACTGTTTTTATGATAGGTGATTACCATGCTGTATCTTACCTTGTATTACTTTTCACCCCCCCCCAGTGTGTATCTCTCCTTGCTATATATCTAGCAAGAATATATATATATATATCTATATCTAAAAGCCCTGAGTTGGAGGACATATATATTTTCTACTAGTTTTTTCTAGTTTGCATCCCATCATCTACAGCCTGTTTCTCCATTTCCTTTCACCACTTGGTGTTATGAAAAATACCATAAAACTTTTGCCAATGTGATGGGTGTGAAATGGTTTCTTATTATTTT